GCTCTGTGGGGCCGCAACGCTGGCAAAACCAATGGGCTCGGTCCAGCTGACGGTAGTTGGGCTGCTACCGAAGGGGACGGTCACATCGATGTTGCTTGGCCAGTTGAGGAAGGATGGTCGGGTGCCATCCGTTCCTGGATAAATTGTTCCTTGATAAATAATAATGAAGCAAGAATATCTCTTTAAATGGCATATCGCCTTTACACTTTTCCCCTGATCTGTACTGAGCATAGGTCTTAATTAGGACATTCAAAGAGAAGACTGATAAGCAAAATTCCTATGGTACCATTTTAGTCAGTACCCTCGATATTTGTCCATTTGCAACTCCTACCAATAACACTGCATGGCTCTGTCTATCTAATGATCTATACCTATGCTAACTTACATATTTTTGGCATGTTAGTGTTTTCCACAACAAAGAAAGATCCAGAGCTCTGTGGGGCCGCAACGCTGGCTACACCAATGGGCTCGGTCCAGCTGACGGTAGTTGGGCTGCTACCGAAGGGGACGGTCCCGTTGATGTTGCTTGGCCAGTTGAGGAAGGATGGTCGGGTGCCATCCGTTGCTGGATAAATCGTTCCTTGATAAATCATAATGAAGCAAGAATATCTCTTTAAATGACATATCGCCTTTACACTTTTCCCCTGATCTGTACTGAGCATAGGTCTTAATTAGGACATTCAAAGAGAAGACTGATAAGAAAAATTCCTATGGTACCATTTTAGTCAGTACCCTCGATATTTGTCCATTTGCAACTCCTACCAATAACACTGCATGTCTCTGTCTATCTAATGATCTATACCTATGCTAACTTACATATTTTTGGCATGTTAGTGTTTTCCACAACAAAGAAAGATCCAGAGCTCTGTGGGGCCGCAACGCTGGCTACACCAATGGGCTCGGTCCAGCTGACGGTAGTTGGGCTGCTACCGAAGGGGACGGTCCTGTTGATGTTGCTTGGCCAGTTGAGGAAGGATGGTCGGGTGCCATCCGTTCCTGGATAAATCGTTCCTTGATAAATCATAATGAAGCAAGAATATCTCTTTAAATGACATATCGCCTTTACACTTTTCCCCTGATCTGTACTGAGCATAGGTCTTAATTAGGACATTCAAAGAGAAGACTGATAAGAAAAACTCCTATGGTACCATTTTAGTCAGTACCCTCGATATTTGTCCATTTGCAACTCCTACCAATAACACTGCATGTCTCTGTCTATCTAATGATCTATACCTATGCTAACTTACATATTTTTGGCATGTTAGTGTTTTCCACAACAAAGAAAGATCCAGAGCTCTGTGGGGCCGCAACGCTGGCTACACCAATGGGCTCGGTCCAGCTGACGGTAGTTGGGCTGCTACCAAAGGGGACGGTCCTGTTGATGTTGCTTGGCCAGTTGAGGAAGGATGGTCGGGTGCCATCCGTTCCTGGATAAATCGTTCCTTGATAAATAATAATGAAGCAAGAATATCTCTTTAAATGGCATATCGCCTTTACACTTTTCCCCTGATCTGTACTGAGCATAGGTCTTAATTAGGACATTCAAAGAGAAGACTGATAAAAAAAATTCCTATGGTACCATTTTAGTCAGTACCCTCGATATTTGTCCATTTGCAACTCCTACCAATAACACTGCATGGCTTTGTCTATCTAATGATCTATACCTATGCTTACTTACATATTTTTGGCATGTTAGTGTATTCCATGACAAAGAAAGATCCAGAGCTCTGTGGGGCCGCAACGCTGGCTACACCAATGGGCTCGGTCCAGCTGACGGTAGTTGGGCTGCTACTGAAGGGGACGGTCCCGTCGATGTTGCTTGGCCAGTTGAGGAAGGATGGTCGGGTGCCATCCGTTCCTGGATAAATCGTTCCTTGATAAATTATAATGAAGCAAGAATATCTCTTTAAATGGCATATCGCCTTTACACTTTTCCCCTGATCTGTACTGAGCATAGGTCTTAATTAGGACATTAAAAAAGAGAAGACGGATAAGAAAAATTCCTATGGTACCATTTTAGTCAGTACCCTCTATATTTGTCCCTTTGCAACTCCTACCAAAAACACTGCATGGCTCTGTCTTTCTAATGATCTATACCTATGCTAACTTACATATTTTTGGCATACAGAGATGAGTTGCAATATATTTTACAGGCAGATTAATAGCCTCTTGCTGAACATGTTATGGAGTAGAGTTTACTACTACGAGTGCTCCTAAATTCATATAAGCAGGGCCCAGATTTTATTATTGCAGTCTGTGCATTTAATAGAAGCCTACGTACCAAGATTGACAACGATATTAAAGGAACATTATCCAACGTTGCTGAGGAAATCGGTCGCGGTGTAAGTGATGGTGGGGAAAGAGAAGCCGGAGTTGAAGTTGCTGGTGACCACACCTGAGCTATCAGTAAAGATGGGTTTCGGTCCAGGTGATAGTCTAGGACGCAGGGCAGTTGGAGGTGACTGGGGCTGTGTTGTCTAAGGAAAATTAACAAGTTTATTAGAATGATATTTAGAGCTTATTTTCAACCCTTTAGTTACGATCTTCGCTCGTTTGTCACACATGCTATTTTGCACTTAACGATAGGTACAAAATGAAAATCAAAGACGATTCTGATTTCAGTTAGGTTCTAGTGTTAGGTTTCATTGGTCCAGAGTTGAAGTTTAGAATTAGGATAAGGTAGCTTAGCGAATTGTAGGGGTAGAAAAGACGCAACTGGAACGCAAAATGACTTCAGTTTCTTGCTCACTCTGTTCTATTGGTTTGTTTGTTACCCTTTATTGTCTTCATAGTCATACTCCATTTTTTTGTTAAATACCTAGACATTTTTGTTCGGCTGATCTTATATATTCAAATGATACACAAGATTTTTTTTTCTTCAGGCGATTGGTACACTTGAACACATGTATGTATTTGAGTTTTCTAAAACATCAACATTTTTGCTTCTATCTTTACTCCCTTTCAACCACAATCTCTTTTAAACACAAGTTCCCACCTACCTGTGACGGTGACAGAGAAAGAGCAGCTTTCGAAGTTGCCGCTTGGGTCTGTGGCGGTGTACACCATGTTAGTGTATTCCACGGCAAAGAAAGATCCAGAGCTCTGTGGGGCCGCAACGCTGGCAAAACCAATGGGCTCGGTCCAGCTGACGGTAGTTGGGCTGCTACCGAAGGGGACGGTCCCGTTGATGTTGCTTGGCCAGTTGAGGAAGGATGGTCGGGTGCCATCCGTTCCTGGATAAATTGTTCCTTGATAAATCATAATGAAGCAAGAATATCTCTTTAAATGGCATATCGCCTTTACACTTTTCCCCTGATCTGTACTGAGCATAGGTCTTAATTAGGACATTCAAAGAGAAGACTGATAAGAAAAATTCCTATGGTACCATTTTAGTCAGTACCCTCTATATTTGTCCCTTTGCAACTCCTACCAATAACACTGCATGGCTCTGTCTTTCTAATGATCTATACCTATGCTAACTTACATATTTTTGGCATACAGAGATGAGTTGCAATATATTTTACAGGCAGATTAATAGCCTCTTGCTGAACATGTTATGGAGTATAGTTTACTACTACGAGTGCTCCTAAATTCATATAAGCAGGGCCCAGATTTTATTATTGCAGTCTGTGCATTTAATAGAAGCCTACGTACCAAGATTGACAACGATATTAAAGGAACATTATCCAACGTTGCTGAGAAAATCGGTCGCGGCGTAAGTGACGGTGGGGAAAGAGGAGCCTGAGTTGAAGTTGCTGGTGACCACACCTGAGCTATCAGTAAAGATGGGTTTCAGTCCAGGTGATAGTCTAGGACGCAGGGCAGTTGGAGGTGACCGGGGCTGTGTTGTCTAAGGAAAATAAACAAGTTTATTAAAATGATATTTAGAGCTTATTTTCAACACTTTAGTTACGATCTTCGCTCGTTTGTCACACATGCTATTTTGCACTTAACAATAGGTACAATATGAAAATCAAAGACGATTCTGATTTCACTTAGGTTCTAGTGTTAGGTTTCATTGGTCCAGAGTTGAAGTTTAGAATTAGGATAAGGTAGCTTAGCGAATTGTAGGGGTAGAAAAGACGCAACTGGAACGCAAATGACTTCAGTTTCTTGCTCACTCTGTTCCATTTGTTTGTTTGTTACCCTTTATTGTCTTCATAGTCATACTCCATTATTTTGTTAAAGACCTACAAATTTTTGTTCGGCTGATCTTATATATTCCAATGATACACAAGATTTTTTCATCTTCAGGCGATTGGTACACTTGAACACATGTATGTATTTGAGTTTTCTAAAACATCAACATTTTTGCTTCTATCTTTACTCCCTTTCAACCACAATCTCTTTTAAACACAAGTTCCCACCTACCTGTGACGGTGACAGAGAAAGAGCAGCTTTCGAAGTTGCCGCTTGGGTCTGTGTCGGTGTACACCATGTTAGTGTATTCCATGGCAAAGAAAGATCCAGAGCTCTGTGGGGCCGCAATGCTGGCTACACGAATGGGCTCGGTCCAGCTGACGGTAGTTGGGCTGCTACCGAAGGGGACAGTCCCGTCGATGTTGCTTGGCCAGTTGAGGAAGGATGGTCGGGTGCCATCCGTTCCTGGATAAATCGTACTATGATGAATCATAATGAAGCAAAAATATCTCTTTAAATGGCATATCACCTTTATACACTTTTCTCCCGATCTGTACTGAGCATAGGTCTAAATCATGACATTCAAAGAGAAGACAGATAACAAAAATTCCTATGGTACCCAAAAAATAAAATAGTTCTAGTCAGCACCCTCGTTTTTTGTCCCCTTGCAACTTATTATGCAGCTGTGTTATTGATAGAATTCTATCAATAACACAGCTTGGCTCTGTCTTTCTAACAATCCATACCTAGTTGTGTAGGTGACCTCAGTAGATCCAACAGCGATGGAACCGCCTTGTAGTTGATTGACCGTCAGGGAAACGGAGTCAGAGTTGTTTGATGCTTCAGGAGCCAGCCATAAAACCACCGGGGTCGAGGTACCAGGGCTGGCATTGGCGACGATGTCGGTTAAACAGCTGGTCAGGATGGGGTTCTCTCTGTCGATGACCACTGTGACAAAGAAATAGGATGAAAATGATGTCAGAGATAGGGAATATTTACATGCAGCCTCCATTTTCAAAAAATATAAGTTGCCTCCTCTATCCAGAGATACAGTGTACATTCATCTCCTCAGATTTGGTACAAATTTGAATCATTTCACTACTTACATTTTTACAATTCTAATCTGCTCACGAAACACAGACAAATGCCAAATATAGCAACATGTTTATATGCAGGAAAAATTTGAACCAAACAATTGCTGTAATAGAGTAAAGTGTTAACGTCATGTTCACTTGTCCGGGTTACTGGTTTTAAACAGAGCCCGTCAATGAGGTTCAAGGCACAATCATTCACACAACAAGCTAGAGCAGGGCAAAGTCAGTGTTTGGCACCGGTGTGATTACCACATCATGGTTTAGCACAAATTGTTTGGAACCAGCAACCTTGACAACTTGGCTAGTATGACGTCACACCTTGGTACTCTATACATAAATGGGTCAGTTAAAGCAAGATTTCACAATAATGTCCTACACTCCCAAAACAAATCAAAAACAAACAAAAATTATTAAAAGAAAATCACTGACCTCCACTTGAAGTGACAGCGACTTTAAAGCTGCATGTCGAGTAGAAACTAGCGTTATCGATAAGGTAATAGATGACCAGATAAGTGCTTACATCAAAGGAATCACCAGGCGAGAAGTTACTGACTGCTGTGATGGGTTCTGAGGCGTCCGTAGCTGTAGGGACGTCCCAGGAGGCCGTGGCACTGCTGGCACAGGACGCAGCCTGGACGAAGACGTTACAGGGACAAAACGTGATCTCTGGGGCGGTAGTGTCGCTGCCATTTGTGGTGGAGGTCGAATTCAGTTTAACTTTTATTTATTAATGTAATGAAGATTAGGTCTGAGAAAGCTTCAATCAGAGAAAGTAAAAATGCTCCAAAGATGATTACAGGTAGTCCGTGGTCAAATTTTCTACATCAACCAAATCCCGAATTCAGCTCAGGACCAAACACTATATCTAATGCTCACTTATTTAAAAGAACTAACCTTGAACTCAATACCAACCCTAATCTTAATCTTCAACAAAATAAAGTCTGGAGTAGTTTAGATTAACAGCTAAGGATCACCTTGTGATACGATTGAAAAATCTAAAATGTCAAATGTGAAAGAGCTTTATTTTAATTGCTTCATGGTAACTATAATAAATAGGAATCACTTGTGTTTCAACCAATGGTAGACCTTTGCTGTATACATGGTCAATCAAAGTATCACCTTCAGTGGTTGATTGCTTTACATGTTGTGTATAGCCATGATTACACATCAAGTCTTGTATTTTAGATGACTGTTTTAATAAGTTATCATTGAAGTCGCCCATTACAATACATTTTGTACCCACTTTATGTAGCTCTTCTAATAAGTTATTCAAACACTCACAGAAGTCTTTTATTCTGTATGTCGGAGGGCGATAAACAACTGCAATGACAACAGAAACAGGACAGGTTACAAGAAAAGCAATAAACTCTAGATTATCAATCTTTATATCAAGTCTGCTTGAAAATTCATTCTTGCTATAAACTGCAACACCTCCATGTGACTGGTCCTTGAACTGTTGCCTTGAGTCACTTGTGATAGAATAAGAGTTATATCTTGATTGATGATACAATTTGAAATGAGCTAAGAATATTTCAAAAGCATCATCCTTATCCGATAGCCATGTTTCAGTCAAACAAATAATATCAGAATTCAGGAATGTTGGATTGCATTGTAAGTCTACATAATGTTGTTTTAATCCTTGAATATTGTGCAACATTATGCATAAACCATCATCATATGTTTCCTCTGCTATAGAAGTTTCCAAGAAATTGGTCATATCATTAAGGTGTTTTTTAATCTTTGGATCACAGTATATAACTTTTGGATGAAAATCTTCAATGGTAAGTCCAGATAAAGAAGTTACACGACTCAGGCCTACATAGCTATGTCCAGATGCAAATATTTTTTTCAGTGATACTACTACTTTATTTAAAGTCATGCCTTGTACTTTGTGAACCGTGCAAGCATAAGCCAGTTTGAGGGGAAATTGCTTTCTTGTGTAATTTTTACCCATTGATTCTTCATACATTTTGATCGATTGAATGCCAATTTTCTGGCTATCAAATTTTACACTGATGCAGTATGGCTTGGATTCGTTGTTTCGTTTTACTATTTCTGCAACTGTACCTATACATCCATTTGTCAAACCTATATTGGTATCAATATTTTTTAAAAGCATCACCCTGGCATTCAAAGCAATTGACAGATTGCGAGGCAAAGAACTTTGACTAGATTTACATGGTTCGGTACATATTTCGTCATTATCCTTGCTGTTATTTCTGTCTTCAGCTTTAACACATATAATATCTTCACATTTGCTGTGCAACATTCTGCTATTCCATTCATTTACTTGTTTATTAGTTGAATAGATGTGCATATCTTCTTCACATTCTTCACCGGTTTCACAAGAGGTAAGGATGGATAAATCTGCATCTGATAAATTGTCTTTCTTTTCCTTAACTCTCAATCTATTCAAGAGTAGAGCAAATGCCAAATCTTCCTTTTGTCGCATTATTTCAACCAGTTCTACCTTTTTGAAATTTTCAGACCACAGCAATTGTTCTACCGATTCCTTATACAAGGGTGTTCCTTTCACAGGTGGTAATTGATAAAAATCTCCAACTGCCAATACCGAAACGTTACCGAATGGACAATCAGTGCGTGATTGCTTAATTTGTCTTAATCGACCGTGTATGTAGTACAACAATTTGGAATCTACCATGGAAATTTCATCTATGATCAAAATTTGCAACTGTCCAAGCTTATTACGAAGGGTGTTAATTCTTTCTTCACCAAGTGGTCGATAAGGAAATTTGGCTGTGATAGGAACTGAGAGTGCACTGTGAATTGTAGATCCTTCTATATTGAATGCAGCTATGCCAGTTGGTGCAACTTTCAAGATTGAAATGTCATCAGGATTAACCATCATTTTACCAAGTATGCGTACAGCTTCGTGGTATATACATTTTATTAAATAAGATTTTCCTGTTCCTGCACCACCACTAATAAGTACATGAAAAGGTTGACTTTCTGTACCATTCACTTTCTCTAAGCACCATTGTCTAATTTTGTAAAAGATTTCTTTTTGCTCATTGTTTAAACATCGAATCAAACTATTCGATTCATGTTTTGAAATTCCATGGCTTCGAAATTCCACACTAGAAGTTTCATTCTTTTTTTCATGTTTAAAATCTGGAATGTCCAATTCACATTCTGGTTCATCCATTTCAACTTTGTTCTTAGGATTTTCTAGTCTTTCTTTTTCACTTTCAGGACATAAAAGAGCCCACGCATCTTCTGGAGAACCAAATTTGTCCATGAAAAGTTCAGCTTGTTCAATGGCTCTTGAATTTCTTTCGTACTCTTTACAATGTTTGTCTACTATTGATTTTACACTTTCCAAATTGCCTCCCTGTAGTTTGACATTACCTGTTTTATAAAATTCCTGATATGTCTCAAACTGTGGTGGTTTTAACTGCTCATCATTACTAAATGGCAGGAAAAGTTGTAATATACTGAGGTAATATTTTTCTGGAGAAAGTATTTTAGAAAATCGTGGATATCTTACGACAGCAACACTAGACCTTGTTCGTTTCTGAATGTATCCCGAATTATTTTTCAATTCAAATAAATATGGTGATGTTTTAGTGCCTTTCACTTGCGATGCAGTTAGTATTCTGTAGCATGCGCAGAATTTTGCAAGACACATAGTGTCAAATTCACTTCCATTAGGTCTAGCTTTATATCGATCAAGTTTATTTGCCATCCATGGACTCCTATCATCATCATCATCGTCAGGTCTCCTTTGAATAACATGTAAAGGTAAACTCATTCTAACAGGATTTGGACCAACCGGAATAAATTCGACTTTTCGTGAACACTCTTTTAATCGAAGGGAACATACACGATACACACTCTCCTGTGCAGATACTTCTCGATTTTGCATGTAGACATTTCCGAGCTGTCTGATACTTTTTCTTGCATCATGATTTCCCTCATTTATTTCAGATTGAGCATGGCTTAAGAGCATTCCCATTTCTCTCTCTGATTTTGAAATGTATGATACAATATATCTAACACATGCATAAACATCCATAACAAATTGTAAGTCCATATTTGCATTCCATGCTCTCAGTAGAAAAGGATTGTACTGATTTATCCATACATCTTTGGGGTCTCTTTTCTTGATCAAAATTTCTTGTTTAGCTAATAACCTAGTTGCAGTTTCAAATTCAGTCTGTGTTGTGTTACAATCTCTAAAAAGGTCTGAGACATTAGTGTAATTATTTTCCTGATTTACAGCGTTTTTGATAGATTCTAATAATTGTTTTGCACTATCAATTTCATCGGGATTACCCTCTTTGGGATAAAGTACACATGTTCTATCAGATGGTGGTCTTGGAAAATTGAACCGACATGTTTTTCCCTTCTTTTTACAAGATTTTGAATGCTTTTTGCTATGCTGCTGCACATGAGTGATTATTTCATGGAGTTCTGGATCTTCTTGTTCGGATGGTATCTTGCAAGAAATGTATTTATCAATGAAGGAAACTACTTCCTCATCTGAACTATATCCATGCTCTGGTGCATCCTTTACCCAGAATAAACAATGTGTGTGTGGAGATCCTCGCTGTTGGAATTCAACACGATAAAAATAATCTATTACATGACCAATGGGATGTGCTTCAGACAAAATAACATTTTTCAAAAAAGTGTGAAATCTTTTGTCAAACATCCTTGCAACAGTCACTGGATTCGACTTTAAAAGTTCACATTTATCTGTCCAATCTAGGTCATTGATTTTTCGTTTATCACCTCTTTCCATTAATAAAGTATTTAATACTTCAGGCCATCTCATGTCTGCTGCAGAGAAACTTGCAAACCATGTAGGTATACCAAGCTGTCTCACCATGGCTAATAAATCTTTTTGTGTGGCAGACCAATATGGAGGAGAACCTCTTATCTGTTTCAGAAAGCGAAACCCTCTATCTGATTTTAATATGTCCTGAACTTTGTCAATTTGTTTTAAATCTTTGATAGTGATTGGTGCATCAGTATCACTTTTACTTGATGTTTTTCTCAATGCAATTGAAACACCGGACAAAACTTGTTGAATTTCATAAATGCACTGAGCATAAAAAATAAAATCTGTACTTTTAGCAAAGCGATTATCTACGTGCATTAGCCTATTTTGAAGATATCTTCCAAGGGTCACCCGTACACTTCTGAAATCATGATAAGTTGGTTGACCTTTTGGAAATAATACAGGAAAAGATTTAGGTTCATTGCTTTCATCTCTAAGAAGTGCTATGGGATTGTTGCCTTCACATGGAGCACAACAGAAAATATCATCAAAATGTTGATCAAGGATTTCTTGTCCAATATCAACTGGTTGCAAGCAGGTATCAAGTTGAATTCCATTTAACCTTGCTTCTTGGTCATCATTTTCCTGTTCTTCAAAGTTTTGAATTGAATCGTCATTGTCGTTTGTTTCTGCACTACACATTTCTCCTGACAACGAATTATTCCAGTTTTCATTGATACTTATATCAGAATACCACTTATTGTTTTTTTTCAAATAGTGCAACCCATTTAGCACCTTATTTTTATTAACAAATTTATACTCATGATGGCCCTTATAAGATATTTTCCTTTTCAATTTCACACGGATCAATTGATCTTCTCTTTCTGGTGGAGGTAGCATATTTACAGTTTTCATTGTATTCGAAGGCACACAAACAACTGGTCCATGAACTGCATTTTGACCTCCCTTAGGTAAACGGATTAATTTGAAAAAACTTATGTTACGTGCAATTAAATGTTGTTCTAAATTATTCAAGTCCTTCAATTCTTCTGGAATCTCATGCAATTGCAAACTGTTAACACTAGCCTCAGCTGGTAATTTATTCACCAACAATTTTCTGTGGCATGTAAAGCATATCCATAAATGTCCACGAGATGAGTGCGCCAATTGACAGTTTTCATTACAGTGTGAATTGCAAATATGTAAATAGGACTCATTCATACACGTTTTGTTTTGGTAATTTGGCTTAATGCATTTTAAGACTTGACTTTGAAAAAGCAATTTTAGACATACACAACAGACATATTCTGGTCCATGAGAAATAACATTTCTGAAATTTCCTAGTACATTTTCTAATTTTTTGAAACTCATTTTCTTAAGTCCAGCACGTTCTTTATTTTTTTCTGCGAGTCTCTGCCTATAATGCTGGTTAGAGTGATACTTTTTTCTTTTTTTCTTCTTGTGTTCATCTCTAAACAACATATTAGACTGATAGTTATGTTTTATTTTTTGTTTCATTTTTTTCTTGTGTTCATCTCTAAAGGATTTATTAGACTGATAGTTATGTTTTATTTTTTGTTTCATTTTTTTCTTATGTTCATCTCTAAAGGATTCATTAGACTCATATTTCAATTTTATTTTCTTCTTGTGTTCATCTCTAAACAACATATTAGACTCATACTTATGCTTTATTTTTTTCTTATGTTCATCTCTAAAGGATTCATTAGACTCATATTTCAATTTTATTTTCTTCTTGTGTTCATCTCTAAACAACATATTAGACTCATACTTATGCTTAATTTTTTTCTTATGTTCATCTCTAAAGGATTCATTAGACTCATATTTCAATTTTATTTTCTTCTTGTGTTCATCTCTAAACAATATATTAGACTCATACTTATGCTTTATTTTTTGCTTGTGTTCATCTCTAAAGGATTTATTAGACTCATAGTCATGTTTTATTTTTTGTTTCATTTTTTTCTTATGTTCATCTCTAAAGGATTCATTAGACTCATATTTCAATTTTATTTTCTTTTTGTGTTCATCTCTAAACAATATATTAGACTCATACTTCTGCTTTATTTTTTGCTTGTGTTCATCTCTGAAAGATTCGTCAGACTGATACTTCTCTTTAATCTTTTTCTTCTTTTCATCTCTGAAACTTTTGTTAGAGTGATACTTTTGTTTCATTTTTGTCTTTTTTACATCACTGAAATCTCCTTTGAATTTGCAACCATCCATATCATTTGCATAATTCTCATTGTTTTGTACATTTTCGTATGCATCTTGATCATTAATTTGTTTTCGTTTTGCTTTCATCCTTTCTTTAGCTAATTGTTGTCGTTTTTTTAAGGACTGCTTACATTTGCTTTTCTTGTTTTCTTTTTTAATTTGTTTTTTAGGAAATTCAATTGTAGACCCTTTTCCTGGAATATTTGTACCTTTAAAGTTAGCACTAGATTGTGTTTTCTTTATACCTTTCAATAGATCAAATGAAAGATTCTTTATTTCAGATTCAGATAAACGTACAAGTCTAATTGACACTTTTTTCAGTACAATTTTTTCATTCCGTATTTTTAAAGGGTCATTTACAATGAACACGTTTCCTTTATTTAAAACATCAGAAACACCTCTATTCATAGTATTACAATTGTCTGATGGATAACTTGTAATTTTAGAAGCTGATTTTTTATCCCTCTCACCGTTTTCCAGTTTTGGTTCTTTTGTTTTGCAATATCTATGCATTTTTGGAAAAGACATCTTTTTCGACTTAGCACACTTTACACTTTCATGAATTGTGTCACCTTTTCTCTTTCTTTTGGACATAAAAATGTCTTCACTTTTTCCGCTTAGACTAGGCATAAACGTTTCTTCAATTTCATCTTTCGTTGCACAAGATGCATATTGTTTGGATAGTTTACTTTTGTCTTTAAGCATTTCACTATTAATAGATCTCTTTTTATTACATGTAACTTCCTTTGTTTTTTTTCCTTCGTCAGTAACCAAATCAATACAATTAACAGATTCAACATAATCAAAATGTACCCCTTTAACATGTAATAGATAAATGCCCATATTTGAATCATGTACAATGCGTCCAGGGTTATTCCATGAATATAGTCTCCACTTTAAATAAATATCACTAAATATTAATATGTCTGTTTCAAGCAGATGGGCCATGACAGCAATTTCTACCTCTGTGGCCCATTCACCATTGATGTCTGGCTTATTTTTACTAACATAGTCTTTAACTGATACAAATTCATATCTTAAACAACCAGCAAATAAGTGCGAGTTTTCCAGCAAATGTTGGATACACTTTTGCCTCAGAAATTTATGATTGCCTTCCTTCCCTGTCAGAAAAAGAGAGATTGCCCGGTAAAAACAATTTCCATCGCCGGTAATATTTGAAATAATAGCAGGAGTACCAATATTAATGCACGTGTCGATATCTGATTTCGAACTGATACATGTATCTGTAATATTAAATCTAGCACACATTTTTTTCTTTTCACTTGAATGGACTGGAAAATATTTGTAGTTATTTGTAATGTATTCTGTATCAATTACCATGCAGTCATCATCATCAACATCATCTATATTGATAGAATCAGGCCTATCTGAGGGAGCACCACTAAACAAATCTTTGCAATAATTTGTATCATGCTCTGCATCAATTATTATGCAGTCATCCTCATCATCATCTATTTCAATACAATCAGACATATCTGTCGAAAAACTGCTTGCGAAATATCTGCAATCATTCCGATCATTTTCAGTATCAATAATATTGCAGTCATCTTCATTGATTTCAATAGAATCAGGCACATTTGTGGGAACACATCTACTACTTTTGTCAGTTCTATCTGTTGGCAAGAAAAATCCATCATTACCTTCAACTACATTTATACAGTCCTGTTCATCTTTTGCAACATGACCATTATCACCATGTTCTGTCACAGTAATCTCGCTTGAATTGATAAGATTCACAATTATACCTGTAAGTTCAAATTCAGTCTGGTTTCTATTGATACCCATAGATTCAGCTAATTTCAAAATATGATCGTACACACCTTCCCAGTTTGATGAACATAGAATGACACTGGTCCCACCATCTGTCATAAGTCCATGCCTATCTCTTGAATGTGAATCAAAAATAAAATATTGTTCTTGTGTGGATATGATTGCAAATGTTTGGCCACCAAATGTACAAAAGCATGCATCATGTCTATCTAATTCCTGATGGAGAGCATCTTTTAATGTTACTGCATTAAAATGACTTAAAAAAGATTCATCTCCACAAATTATACCCACAACACTCTGAGAACATTGCATCTTAAAATGGACATCAAAAGCTTCTAATTGATCAGGTAACTCAGATATCAATAAGAAATCTTCATTTATTGCAGAACTAAGCTGAATAAATCTATACAACTCATTACCATAATTCAATACCTTGTCAAGATCTTGTTTTTGCCATTGGGAAACATCTGTAATTTTACTGTATAAAATAGCAGCAAAACTGTTAGAAACACATTGCTTTCCAGAATAAAATCCAAATCTAGCATTTCCTTGATGAAAATTGCCCAGGGCAACACATTGCACAAGTGTATTTTGTTCCATATTTGACATGTTCTCATTTGGTATTTGCTTCTCTTCTAAATTTACATTAGAGGTGTTGACTGACTGTTTATGAAATTTACTATCATGTTTCATTTCAAACATTTTCATAGGAATAGACTTGTCCACATGTTGCTTACAATCTTTATCCACCTTTACTTCACCCGCGTTTTCAGTCTTTCCGTCACATACTTTTCCTTTATCATTTGGTTTTGCACCACCACATACTCGAAATGTGCTCTGTTCTTTGCCCTTATATTGTTTTAAAAAAACATGACTGCATGTCGCACTGCCAACAATAGAATGTTCCTGTATTATTTCATTTTGTACATGGCCTACTACATCAGCCCAAGATTGTTTTTGCTTCATGTTATTTTCTTTGTAGAGTTTCGTTTCATGGGACATCATAGATTTTGGTGATTGCACACACTTTGAGTATTCATTTAGCAATTTTTCTGCGTACATTTGAACATTATTTTCCAATACATTCTGACATTCTACATCTCTGTTTAGTTTGATGTCTACTTTGCGTTTTGATTTTTTACTTTTTCGTCTTTCGTAGAAAGATTTCATTGCTTTGCCAATGTACGTTACTCCAGGTTCTAAAACAACACCATTTATGATTCTCTTTTTCTGACCTGTTCCACTGTCACTTTTTGCTGTTGAATGTGATATTCTGTCTTGCATCTTTTCCAACATCTTTGCCTTTTTTGATTTCACTTTCATCCATTCATTACTGCCTACTTCTTCACTATGCACTTGATCACGTTGTTTGGGGGAATCTCTTTGAGTGACTAGATGATCATGTTCATGCGTGTCAAACTCACTTGATTTCATTACTTTTACACTTTGATTTCCTGGCTCTATAATGATTTTCTTGCATTTCTTAAAATACCTTTTCTTTGATCTGCATTTCTTTTGTTTGTCATTTTGCTTGGGTAAGAGGAGCACATCATCATTGAATACTTCATCCACTGTCTCGAGAGGCTGGTATCTATTGATATGAGAGGGGATACATACTTTATCAAATAGTCGATGTGCAATGTTGTTATTTCCACAATATGAACATATCCAGATTAATCTTTGCTCATTTACTAGATCTTGACACAAAAAGCCCATACATGTTACATGATAATGTTCATTGCAGCTCTCACAAGTAGCTTTGTTTTCACTTTCTTCGATTGTATTTTTACAGACACAACATTCTTCATTATGCGGATCGCATGTATATAGCATATCTACAATCTCTTTCATCACTTCCTTGAATTGATCAATTTCAAGTTCCATAATTAAGAAATATAAAATTCAGTAATATGAAATAGGTTAGAAAAGTTCAGACAGCTTAGTATAAAATAGATTTAGAGATCTTGTAGGAATAACTTTTGTGATTAAGAATAGATTTAGAAAGTTTGTAGAATAAGAGAAGATTTGTGAAATTTAGAAAATTCAGTAATATAAAGTATCACAAGTAAAAAGTAGGACTTCTTCTGTAGCAAACATTTAAGACTTCTGTGATTAGGTATAGAATGCTTCTGCATGAATATATAATAATGTTCTCATAATTGCTTTTGTAAATTTTTCATTTGTTTTTGCAAGTGTGAAGATGAAATGGGATGAAATGGATAAAAGACACAGCCAATACGGTCTACAAGAGACAGCTGTGGTACACTCTCTTCGGAGAGCAGGATCTTTCTGAGATAAAGAAAAGTGAATGATGAATATACGTCTGAAGACAGTTGGGAAGGGAATATGGGTGAAGATGAAATGGAATTGTTCAGTCCGCCAACAAGCTCAATGAGAATGAAAGGAATGTAAAAGTCTCCGCCTAGGAAACGAAAAGAAACATAAAATTAGAATATGACATGTAAATCTTGGAATGATCAGTTGTACAAAGTTTCATTTGAATTACAGACAAAATGTACATAATTTTAAATACTGTATCATACATTCCCGTCTACAATCATGTCACGTAAACATTTCATAATTTTCTAAGTCATTCTTATCAATTATCACTTTTTTAATCTCTTGAATGTTAGTTATCTTACATTTTTTCCCATTGCTTTATTAATAATATTCCATGTTTTCTTCAAGACTTTTCTTTAAATATTTCTTTATCTCAATCTTAATCTTATTATTTGATTTATTACAAATTTTCCTATATATATTTCTTTTCTATAATCATTAGGATTTTTAATATACAACTTATATAGTCACATATTTTCTTACTCAACTTTATAATTTCATTTGTAATCCAAGGTTTATTTTTACGCTTATATTTCATACACATTAATTTTACAGGGAAACACGAGTTATAGTTTTGTGAATTTAAAAACAAAGCTATCATAAATATTATTCACATCACTAGATAAATACCATTTACATGTACCTTGAATACAGCAAATGCAAAAATATTATAATATTATTTTTATTTAAATCATGTTTAAAAAAGTCAGTTTCACAGGTACATTTGTAAATAGCCATATCACAAATACAATATACTGGGAAGTGGTCAGAAATGTCAGTTAATAATATTCAAAAATAAATATGTCAAAAATCATATAAATATATCATCTAATAGTGATGAAGATCTGTTAGTAACACAGGTTGGGTAATTTATTAAAAGAATCATGGAATGTAGCATTAAAATAAACCTACTCTCCAGAAACTTTGCTTCTCCTAAAGTCCAAATCACTCAATTGATGCCACCAGTCTTCAAAAGAAAAATAACAAAGTAAAAAGTAAAACATGACCAAAATATTTATTTAAACAAGTCGAACGCAAAGCGTAGCATCCCCTCGCAGGGTACAAATGGCCTATATATACATGTACATCAAAACAAGTTACCTCCATTGGGCTATACTATTATATTAGTAGGCAAGTAAGTTGACCACATTTTTACAGATATAATTAGGTGTTTTTGCATATTTAATGAGCTATGACTTTTCTCCTTTGACCTACATACTCCAAGATCAAACTTAGGCTGTATTTTGATACCATGACCTTCATATCAAATTTTATTAAAATCCGCTAAACGTTACTAAAGTTATCAAACACAAACCAGATTCGTATATTTAATGAGCTATGACACTTGACCTACATATTCGAAAATTGAACTGAGGCTGTGTTTTGATACTATGTACCTTTATTTCGAATTTGATTAAAATCTGTTAAACATTATTAAAGTTATTCAAAAAAAAAACATATTCGCATATTTAACACTTTGGAGACGACGGGATTCTACAGAAGACGAGCAAGTTTTTAAGTCTGTGACGACGGGTTTCTACAGAAGCCGAGATGTATCCCTAATATTTTCCAGCTTATCATTAGCTATTATGTGCTAAAGTTGTTTGAAGTATTATTTAGATATATTCATTCATCTCATCTATTAAAAAAATAATAACGTTATGTGGAAAAAAAGTGATATCATTTCAACTTTACCCTAAGTTAGTGTTCGGATCGAAAAAAAAGCCCTTGAAATACCGGTACAGCTGGAGACGGACGCGTACGCGCGCGTCGTTCCATATGTTATTCATAAAGCCCATCGTCTCAAAAGTTTTGACTCCACATCTATCTTTTACGTCATTGTACTTACATAACTGATTTAGATGCATAGTTAAAAAGTAGAATATGCAACACAAAAAGAGTTATTAAAACATTGGCAGATTTATGACACACAAAAAAAAAGGAATTATGAGACAGCTATATTATTGCGTTTTTTTATTTATGATTCAAGTCTTTGGATTATTGGTTTTGTTGATGAAGACGATTACATGGCGATTTTCCATCAGTGATTGGATGACTTTCGCTGGGCAATATGAGAGGGCGTTGTTTTCCTCACATTTCCATAGATGTATTGTGGTTATTCATATAATAATATTATTAGGCCTATAGTAGGCCTATTCATAAAGACCTAGGACTATTCCTTTTAAATAAAACTTACTCTCAACTGTGTATAAGTACGCATTTATAAAAGGACTTGGTAATTCTTCTGCCCTGTAATTACCAGTGCTGGAACTCTGACTATACGCTTTTCATTTTATCAACTTGACCAATTTAGCGAATCATTAATGTATGGATCTCCTCTTTTATAAAACGCCTATCTCAGCTGCCTGGACCGGACCCCACCCTAAGAAGAACAAATAAATGTAAAGAAGTAACTACCATTGTTCAGTAGCTACCATTGTTGAAAAAAAAATGCAAGTTTTCTGGCAATAAAAAAAAGCGAGTGCAAGATGAAGAAAAAAATTTGTATTACCATTACTACTTTATTACAATATTGTAAGCATCATCATCATCATCATCATTTCATATATACATTGTACATGTACATACCATCTACAAAACTGATCATGAAACAAGGATTAACAAAGTTTTATTGACACGATAGGTTGAGCAAAAACACAAATGGAGACGAAAACAAATAAATTGAATTCTCACAAGGGATTTGACCAAAACAAGTCTAGATGTTCAATGGTTATCCTGATAAATGGGATTTGTGTGTCATTTTATTTTATAAAATATATTTAGGTAATAGTGGTAAGATGGTAATATGATAAGGCACACAATGGCTTTTTTTCTTCAGATGGCAGTTTTATTTGAATAATCATGATCCCCTCCCACATTGAAAAAAGTAAAAGGCAGATATAGATTTACAAATGTTTTGCCTTATTTGTTTTTATATGTGTTCTATTAACATGATATATTACCGTTATCGATTTCCTGTCATAGCCAAAAAGGGGGGTGGTGGCGCAACTAGCTTTTTATTGTTGATTGCTATCATTTGTGTCCTTGCCCCCGAATCACGGTCATTTGTTTTATACATATTGGTATTGTTTTAGTGTGCCTATGTTTCTCATCATTGTCCACCTCAACTGTTGTGTTTTTGTTTGCATGTTTTTCTTTATTGTTTCGTAACATATAATGAATTACTATATTTTAAATACCATTTATTTTCAAATAAATAAAGGACTACCAAGACTACGGTGATTAACTCCTTATTAGCCACACCCTTTCAACAAAAACAAAAACACACATGTTCATCTCAAAATTCATTTCCCAAATAGTCCTATATTTGATTTGTGTTGTATCTCTGATACACTATAACATATATGTGCTTTACCTGAGAGTTATTGTCCTATTGTCACTGGCTGGTATGTATATTACATTGGCATGTACATTACATTAGCATGTGCATTACATTGGTATGCATTGCAGCTGGCATGTCCATTATGTTGTTTTATATACATAACAATTTGCACATTTAAAAAAAAGGGCAATTACTGTAGATCATGGCATAATGTTGGTCAGAATATAGTTACAAAATCTGTCGAAAACCCATGTAAAGCGAAGGCTTAGGCCTATTAATTATGGCTCGGTTGATAATCGGCCGAGCTTTAGCAGACGACAATCATTGACATTGGGGGAATAAATGGAGGTATCGACAGATCTGAGCATGTGGCGGTGCTTACGCAATTTGTATGTTGACTGTATTGAAAAGGAAAGACGTGAAGCTTCAGCAAAATAATATTTTTCTCAAAAATAACAGATCTTATTTTTCGTATTGATAAACAAAACTTATATTTTTACATATAATAAAACTCACGAAAATGACTGAATGAGGCACAATGAGCAATGAAAGTAGAAAGCACCGCCAAATTTCCCATTACTGGCGATGTAACCGAAATCGCTCCGTCACAGGGGAAACAATCGATGTGCGAGGGCTCCTTCTCAAAGGGTTAATGAGCTATGACCTTTCACCTACATACTCCGAAATCAAATTTAGCCTGTATTTTGATACCATGTAATGTACCTTCATATCAGATTTCATTAAAATCCGTCAAGCATAAAACCAAGTTTAATAGATTCGATCACAAATTTAAATTTGGTGAGAGCTAATTTGCAAACTTTGATGTCACATTAACATTTCATAATTTTCGAAATCTTATGACTAAATATAACACACAGTTTGCTTAGTGCTATGCAGCATTGGTCCAGAAATGGTGAAAATGTCTCTTCATGATTTTAGTTTGTATACATTTTCATAAAAGTTGTGCAAAGTAGAACACTTTCCCATGCTAAAAGGTGCTATGTCCCTTTTGCAGCCAACCTCAAATTCTGTAGAACTTTGCAGGAATTATGAATATGTCATGAATGTCCTATCTGTGAAATTTAAACTTTAGCAGTGTCCTAATATTCAAATTATGCAAGTAAACCTGTTTACTTGCTAGACTTCACTGTCAGACACTATTGAGTGACTGACTGGCTTTTTTTCTTCTTTAGTAATAATATACATAAAATGAGCTGTGAGGGTTCATGAGCATTTGTCTACATCAATAACCCACTTCTTGCGATGGCCAATATTAAACTGATTGAATCTTTGCGCAGCATAAAACGTATGACCATTCGGTACAATGGTCTGAAAAACAAGACTATTACTTATTGGCTCTATAGCTCCTAAGTCGATTTAACAACTAATGGTCATTATTTTCCCACTTGAAGACATTTTGAAGCCCCACCTTTTTTAAGGAAGTTCTAAATTAGTATTATCTTTCAAATGCCGTTGGAATTTACCCTTTTCATTTTTTGGGCCTGCAAATGGTAAAGACCAGTTATGAAAATGCCCCCCTCTCAAAAAATGAAATGGAAGCTCTTTATTACCAATCATGTGAAAGAATATGTTTTTACTAATACGTGATGATACAAATTTTGCCGGGAAACCACCTACCGTATTTGCCGACGTAAAGGCCGCAGTATTTTTGGAAGAGAAAATATCAAAAAGTTGGGGTGCGAAAGTCCAAACCAGCACGAATTTGCGCATATGGGACTACGAACGGTAAAATAACTATACCATTATGGTACAGGACATTTCCACACATCTTACCGACAATTTTATCTTGCATTGTTAAAACAACAACTTCCTAAAACAAAATTTGCCGATAGATCTCTAAGTTTGTGCCAATGCATTTGCAAAAGTAAAGAAAGGGACCGTTTAACGGAGCTACCGGCGAAGCATCCATCCGAAGTCGCCATTTCGTTTTTCATTTCATGCAATTTCGCATTACACCATACATGTACATTGTGGTAGGGATACATTTTGCATATATCGGACACCAAATCTGCCTGCGATCACTTTTTTAGCTAAACTTCCGGTAAATTATAAAAATATTGATAAATTTGGTATCCGTTTGTCAACAAAAATAGTGTTTTACGAGAAAATTACGATTATTTTTTTTCTTCCGTTTTTTTTCTTTCCTTCTTTAAAATGTCTAAGTTGGGGTGTGGCCTATGCGGCACTGCGGCCTTATCGCCGGCAGATACGGTACTACCGTATTTGATATAAATAGTAAATTATTATATCTATCTGGACCGGATAGATATCGCACACATGTCACGCACATGTCACATACTTGTCACATAGTCCCATATACATATCAATCAATTCCACCTAGTCTTCATTTTCTTGAAAAACACATGTTCTTATTCCAAATATGTTGTAAAAAAAACTCTCCCACACCACATCTGTTCAGAGCCAGAAGGGTATTAACTCTGTGTTACATCCTTCTGGTTGCACACATACAATATTTTTAAATAAACCAATTTTACCGTACCTGTTTCACAATATTTAAATTAAAAAATAAAACAGCAGTCTCTTACCTGTATAATAGCAGCATTCAGCAGGATAAGGTTAACACCACACACGTTGTATTCATTGATGCAAAAGGAGGGGGAAAAAAAGAAAAAAAAAATTAGCAAAAAGTAATGATATATTAGAGTACATT